ACATCTAGATGTGTATAAGAGACAGTTATTGTATTGCCGTGTACATTTCAACTTTATTGACAATCCTTAATTTCAATATTTAAGATTGATTTTGAAATTGTTTAGAGGTATAATATAAAATAACTATTATAACATTTTGGCAAAGGTATAATGGCCAAGCTGGCCCTGATTAGGCCTACTTCCAACATAAAAAATTGTAACCCTTAAATTAAAAGTGAAGAAATTAATTTTTCTAAAATTATGCATGTGCTATTTTCCGGCTGAGGAGCCATTTTTTCAACTATGGTGGAAAAAAAATGTGTTGCACCCTGCCACCCACCCATGCCCACTCTTATTAAAATGGCCGGACACACTTGCAAAATGCTTCCGACGGCTATGATACATACATAAACAAAATTGAGTAGTTGCATACGATTTTTTTTTTCCATGAATCCATAAATCCCAAAAAGAAAGGGGAGTTCGGGGGTCCTCCCCGGGGAAAATTTTGATTCCTAGAAGGCGGGAAATGAGTTTTTCCGACTTCTGAAGTGTCTTTTAATTTACCTTTAAGTTCTTCAAAATTCAAGGCTTTCCCCTTTTGAAAATTATTATAATGAATCAATGAACTCAAAGAGAAAATGGAGGTTCGGGTTCTTCCCGGGAAAGTGTTGATTAAATGGTGGGAAATGAGCTTTCCCAACTTCTCAAGTAGCTAGGTTTTAGCTAGGTGTCTAATGACTTTGCTCTCCAAAATTCAAGGTTTTCCCCCTCTTGAAAACGGTCAGGTAAACTTTCTCATTCTTATTACAGTAAATTGGCCGGTTGTGTGTGTATGCTTACATAAAAAAAAAATAGTAGTTGCACATATACGTATTCTTTTTTCAATTAATCGATAAGCTCCAAAGACAAGGGGGTTCCGGGGATTCTCCCCGGGAAAATTTTGATTCCTAAATGGCGGGAAATATTTCCGACTTCTGAGGTGTCTTAATTACTTTTAAGTTCTTCAAAATTCAAGGTTTCCTCTCTTGAAAACGGTCAGGTAAATCTTTCCACTTGTTATTACAGTAAATAGGCCTTATGTGTGTATACATACATATAAAAAATATTGAGTAGTTGCATATAATTTTTTTTTTCATAAATCGATAAATCCCAAATAGAAAGGGGGTCCGGAGGTTCACCCCCGGGAAAATTTTGATTCCAGGGTGGCGGGAAATGAGCTTTCCCGACTTCTGAGGTGTCTTTTAATTACTTTTAATTTCTTCAAAAAATTAAAGGTTTTTCACCTCTTGAAAATAATTCAATGAATCAATGAACCCCAAAGAAAAAGGTGTCGGGTTCCCCCGAAAAAAAATTTGATTCCTAGAAGGCGGGAAATGGGCTTTCCCGACTTCTGAAGTGTCTTTTAATTACTTTAAATTTCTTCAAAATTCAAGATTTCCCCCTCTTGAAAATGGTTCAATGAATCGATGAACCCCCCACAAAAAGGGTTCCGGGTTCCCCGGGAAAATTTCGATTTCTAGAATGCGGGAAATAAGCTTTCCTGACTTCAGAAATGTCTTTTAAATGACTTTTTAAGTTCTTCAAAATTCAAGGTTTTCCCCTCTTGAAAACGGTCAGGTAAAATTTTCTCATTTTTTATTTTATATGTGTATACATACATAAATAAATGAGTAGTTACATGCGTATTCTTTTTTTCCACGAATCGATAAATCCCAAAAAGAAATGGTGGTCTGGGGGTTCTACCCTGGGAAAATTTTATTCCTAGATGAATGAGCTTTCCCGACATTTGAAGTGTGTTTTAATGACTTTTATGTTCTTCAAAATTCTAATTTTCTTATAGTAACATAAAAAAAAATAAATAAATAAACAGCTCACGGGTCCTGAAAAGGTAGGTCTAGAATTCTTTTTTTCCCTTTTTTTGTTGCCCAAGGGAAGGGTCAGGACCCATGACCCTCCTCCCCAGATCCGCCAATGTGAATTGCGATCAGACTAGAGAGAAATAACATGAAACCTCCGATTAAAACCATGGACCAAATTCCTTTGTCTGTATTTTTGTATAGTTACAATTTTTCAGTGGCGTATCGAGGGGAGGCCGCGGGGGGGGGGGGGGGGCGCCCTCCCCCCCCCCCCGGTTCCGCCGGCCATGTGTCTAGGCCTAGTAGTAGGTGGATATTATTACCGCGAAGTGGGGCGGGCGGTACATGCCTTATAATTTACTACGTGACGTGGACAGCGAGATTTGCTATCCATGCAAATCCTCCTCCTTTTTGGAATTTAAGGAAATTAATACATTTTTGTTTCTTTGTTGGATCGATTGCAGCAACCCCAAAACCAACATAATGGTATTTCACATTATATAGCATTAATCATCTATAATAACTGCTAACTTCCTACCCTATCGCGTTGTTTTGTTTTGGTGACAACATGGCCGGTGTAAGTCACGTGATTGAAACAGAGTTGGCCAAACTCTCTCTATCTACGGCTCCTTGGCCAACTTGGCGCATGGGCGCCATGTTGTCACCAAACAACGTGCGCGCGTATAGCTTTATAACATTTTATGAAACACTGATGCTGCATAAACTTTCTTTCATTATTCTGTTCATGAGGACAATTCAATTATGGGATTTTAACATATATTTGTAAATATCATATACTGTATAATCA